AGTGAAGACAGATCTTCCTCAGCTTATGGTGGGGTTATGTCCTGATAAAATAGTTTCAACTTATGATGGGTTTAAGTCAAAATGCACTGAATACACCTAACCTACCAAACTTCACAGTCTACCTTAACCTGCTCAGAACACTTACATTAGCCTACAATGCGACAAAAATCACCTAACACAGAACCTGTTTTATAATCAAGTGTTGACTATCTCATGTGATTTACTGAATGCTGTGCTGAAATGAGAACAGGATGGTTGTGTGGGTACAGAAGGGGTGTAGTTGTACCAGCTATTTACCCTCAAGCTCAGGTGGCTGACTAGGGGCCACAGCTCCCTGCTGCTGTCCAGCCCCACGAGAGTATCGAACCACATACAGCTAGCCCGGGAAAAGACCAAAATTCAAAGTACGGTTTCTACTGAGAGTGTATTGCTTTACCACCAACATGTGGCCAAAAAATCCCAAGTTGGACCACCATAAGCTGGGGACCGTCTGTACTCTGAATCATCTATCAGACTTCCATCCCTGTAGCTGGAACTCAGCATACTGGGAATGGTTTCAGTAAATTTATTAGCAAAAACGAACTGCTTTTTGTTTCACTTTACCTTATTTTTGGCTTTTCTTGTTTAGTTTATCTGTGCCTGGAACGAGTTGCATTCCACATTCAATTTTATACAGCCTCCAAAAGTGAGGCAAAGCTGCTGAATTACACGGCGATGCGTCTCTCAGTGGCAGGGAGGCACCGACTGCAAGCTTACCCCGTGGTAGCGTGTTCACTGCCGGTGCAGTGAGGGAGCCGGTGAGGGTGTCCTGGTCCCAGCCGTCTTGTCCTCCAGATGAGAAAGGTTTCCAAATTCCGCCTTTGTCCTGTTTTCTTTTTTTAAAGCAAGAGTAAAATAGCGAAATACCTCAGAAACCAAAAGTTTCCTTCTATATAATGATAGTGGGTTTTTTTTTTTTTCCCAAAAGCTTTTTCCTTGAAAACAAAATGAAATCTCTCACTCCAGTCACCTGGAGAGGTCCTACCCTTGCGCGTTTAGACCTCTCGGTGCGAAGAAGTGAAGCGGAGGGATTGTTGTGCCCGACTTTGCTCCCTTCCATTGCTGGGGCTTCGGAAGGCAGCGTCTCCAGGGCTCCTTTGGAAGTGGGGCCAGACATGTGCGGATGAGGGGCGCCATCACACGCTGCATTCCCAGGAAGTGAGAGGGACAGCGATGCTTCGCATCCCTGGGAGCCTTACTTCTGCTCTGAGGGACTTATTTTTTGATTGGCAATTGGGGGACACATTTCCCCTTTAGAACTTGGTTGCAAAATCCCCGGACTTGACTGGCCATCCTCCTCAGACGACATCCTAAACCTAACTGCTCAGTGTCCAGTGAATCCAGAACGTGAGGAGCCCGGGGCCACGGTGGGGGTCAGGGGTACCTTCCGTGGCCCTAACGTAGAGGCAGCGCTGAAGCAGCGGTGTCCCGGAGATCTTGTCCCGGAGCAGGCTTTTCGCATTTTCACGAGGTGCTGAGAGTTTCTCTTAAACTAATAGACATTTTGACTTTTTCCCCCTCAGGCTATAAAATTGGTGTTAAAAATTTATTGAGGCCTGAAGTGAGAGACTTCTGGGAGAAATTAGGAAGCTGTGTGGCCCCTGAAGATGAAGGGGGTCACGTGGACATCTTTGCACCACTCGGAGCATCAGGTCAGTGCTGAAAAGCAGTGGTCATACCTACTTTGTGATGGGGTTTCGTGGATTTGTGAGACGCCCTCTGTTCAGAAGACTCA